ATGACGAACACAGATGAATATTTCATTGAGAAAATAAGGGAAACTAAGTCAGGGTATGAGAAAATAAAAAAAGAGAATGAAGAGATTTCAATAAGAAATCAAATGATAGAAAAAGAAATTAAAGAAATAAAAGAGGAAGTGAAGGAAAGAAAAAGACGGAAGGAAGAATTGGAACAAGAGAGAGAAAAGAAAGAGAAAGAAATAAAGGAACTCAAGGCACAGAAAAACATCACCAAAAGTCAAATAGAAGCAATAAAAGAAGATAATTCAATAAAACAATGTTCAGAGGAAAAGATAAAAGAATTAAAAGAAACAATAGAAAAGCTCAAATACCAAATAGAAAATGATAAAACTAAAGTTAAAACATTAGAGATTGAGAAAAATGAACAAGAAAATTATAAATGGGTTTTATTAGAAGATTCATTTGCTCAAAAAGATTATATTAAAACATTACTTCAAATGTATGAAAATATGTATGGTATAAAAGTCAATAAAAATGAAGAGGAAATAATCCAAGAACTTTATGAACAACACACTGGAATTAAAGAATGGAATAGATATGTAAAAACAATGTTTGACTCAATTAATAAAACATATCATTAACTCTTTTGTGTTTTTTGATTTTAAGAATTTCTAAAACAGATAAAGAATTTGAAGTTCGTAATTGCACCATTCAAAAAATGAACAAATCAAAACAAATTTATGAAGGGGAATATCTCACTGATTCAACTAAAGAATGTTATCAAGACATTAAAACATCATATTTTGAAAAATTAAATATTGAAATAAAATGAAAATAATAATTGTTTTCACTATAATACTAAATTCTTTGTATTTAATTTCTCTACTACACCAATAATTTCTAAATATTTTAGTTATTTACTTTTATGGTCGATATAACATAGTTTATTAAAAAAAATAATTGAAAACATGTTTAAATAAATTATAATATGAGAAGAAAAATAGATTAATATCATTTCTTTTTCAAAACTTATACTGTGTGTAATATTATATTTAATTATAGATAGCACAACTAAAAATAATTGAAGAAATAATAAGTTCTAAAGAAGATACAGAAAATAAGAGTTAATAACGATGGTTTATTAATGCAAAGTGTGAAAATTCCTCTAGAAAAAAACAACTTAATGTTGTTGAATAGAGTAATTACAATTAAGAACTTCATATGTTGGGTAATAAAAAGGATAGTTTAGTTAACAGAATTTACATAAAATGAAATGAAATAAGTGTGTTTTCGATTGTTCATGAAAGGTGTCATGCTCATGTTATTTAATAATGAACTAAAAGAACAAAAGGTCAATTTTTATATGCTTTATTTAATCTCTTAATATTAAGAAGTTACTAATCCCGTTAATTTGTATATTTTATTTATGATATTATTAATTTCTGATATATCATAATATGATATTTAAAGATAAATACATTTTTCTTTATTTATTTTAAATATCTATATGTTTTTTATTATTTCAATAATTTCTATTTCGTTTGTTTATTATATCTCAATAAACTCTAAATAATTCTTTATCATATCCATCTTATATTAGTATTATCCTAATTTATAATTTATTTGTTTGAATATATTACCTATTTTCAATATAATTTTATAATAAATACATCATTTAAATTAGTAGTGCTTAATGTAATAGTGTTATGTTTAAGATTTAATTGAGTGAAATGATATTAATTGTATTATCTAGATATTCTTTTTTGTTTATTTTAATATTTTTTCTTTTATCAATATTTTTTATTTCATTATATTAATTATTCTTATGTATATTCTTTTTATTTTTATAGTATTTTAATTTGATATATAATATTATAATGTTGAATAACCAATAAATTTATTGTAGTGTATTTGTTATAAAATAACTTTAACAATATTTATACAGAATTATTTATTTTCATTTATATTTCTATATTTTATTTTGTTAATATTGATTTATTCTTTAATACTATTGTTGTTCTATATTTTTGATATATTATTTAATATAGATATTTAAAGATTATATCGTGAAGAAAGTTGAATAATAACAAAAAGAATAAATTATTAACACGAACTGATAGTTATTAATAACTTAACAATGATATTTAATTGAAATTCATCAACTTAATATAATTAAATAAGTTTTATTTGAATAATATATAACTGAATTGGTTCATTCATTGAATTGATTTATATGAGATAATGATAAAACTAGAATGAATTAATTTATTTTTATTAAGACTCTTTTTGAGTTAATATTTATTTCAAAATAAAATAATTATAAAAGATAAAGAATATAAAAGAATTAATTAAATAAAGAAGTGATATTATTCAAATAAAGAAAGAAAAGTTAGAATAGAGTCTTACATAATAAAAGAATCAAATACGAACAACAGATTAAGAAACCCATATTAAAAATAAATAAAAATTTTAATATAACAATCATTCTATTTAGCGTTTATTCGTTTTTTTTTATAAGTTTATTATTTCAATCACAGTCAATTATAAAAATTATCTTTATTTGACTCTTCTTTAAAATCACAAATAAGTAACAAATATCAAATCTGGATTATTGTTATTTTACTGTTGTAATACAATGACTAGAAATAGTTAAAATATCTATATTATATTAATAAATGATGTAATTATTTTAATTGATAAAAAATAATCACACCAATAGAACAGTAACTTTCAAATGATTTAATGGATATTTGAAATATACAATTATGAATTTTTTACAATATATGCATGTACTATCTTGGTTAGTAAAAATTATACATTAGCATAGTTTAATTGATACAAAAGAAGCATCAGATAGTAAAAATTGTAAAATTCACAAATTAAAAATAGTTAAAATATTATTGATACTGTATTTTTATGAATTTTGTTTGATATTGATTACTCACAATCAATAAGAATTAATCACTATTTATTTTTATTGTATTGGATATTTTTTTATTAATTTTTAATCATTTTTATATAATTATTGAAATGAAGAATA